AGGGAAGTGACGGGTATGTCGGGTCGTGACAGTTACGTATCCGAGGGATGTTGGGTGACTCCAATAAATGAAATGGGTGGGGAAATGGTTTAGGGGTATGTCACAGGATGTTGGAGATCCGTTGGGAGATCGGAGCAAATCCGGAGTCTCTGAATGTTCTGACTCGGGGCCGAGGTTCCGGGATGGGAGTGGCCAAGGTTTGGTGTGCCGCAAACAGGCCGGAGCTGAGACAGTTAGGAAGGAAGGTGACTTGGGGAGTGGGGAGTTATGGTGTAGGGGATGGTGAAGTTGTTAGGAAGGTGTGGTGTGGTGGGAGTGAGCAGGGTCGGGATTCTGGGATATGACACTCAGGTTCACGGAATTGCTCTTGGTCAACTTTGCTGTTCGAATTACAAGGTTAGAGCGTCATCTTATCTGCGATAATCCCCTCAGTCTCACCTTGTGAGGGAAGTGTCCTGGGGAGCTCTTCACCAGGAATGAGCTTAAACATTGTGGGGGATGTGGAGTAAGTGATTGTGCCATTCTTTTTTTTTTTATGATAACTCACACATATAACCGGCGCCCCTGCAGCTGCCACATTATTGCAGTGTCAACTGTCAGGTATGGATATGGATATGGACCTACACTATCTCTCACCGCATCATGTAAAACTAATCACTTTCTTGTTTAACCCATGTATCAGTACCTTGAATTGCAGTATGATGCCATTCTCAGGGATATTATGGATGGTTTTTTCCCCACAGGTTTGAAGATCATGATCTGTGGTTGGACATAATAGAGGGTAACAAAGAAGCGGACAAATGCGCCCCCCCCCCCCAAAAAAAAAAACAGCTCTCACCCTCAACCCAACCTTGAAGTCTAAACCAAAGCAGCACCAGACTCAGTGCCCTATCCCAATCCACAGCCTGCAAGCTAATAATATGACTGAGGGCACCCAAAACCCAGAGGGATAGACAATCTTGAGCATATCGAAGCGGCCAGGCCCTTGAATCCACTGTCCACAACTGTCAGGAACGTGTCAGATGCGTATCTGGGTGACCCACAAGGCATGCGAAGTTGTCTGGGCTTGTAAGGTCAGAGGGGCAGGACTTTAGCTTCAGCGACTCGGGTGGAGCGCTGTGCTTCGTTCTTACATTGGTGTCCCAATTTCAGACAGAAGCCTTACGATGAGGAGAGGAGTCTAGAGGGGGAATCCAAGTCAATATACGAACTAAGGTACATCCAGTGTAACCTACATGCATTATAAACACAAGTAACTAAATAGGACTGGCCCGGAAGGAGTGGCGGATCAAGCGTGATATTAATGAATGAAGAAAGAGACAAATAGTTAATATCAGAAAACTTGGTCAACAAAAGGCAAGCAAGAACAATGAGTGACAAAGGAGGAACAATAGTCTGCAAGCAGACAAAAGAGAAAAGGCCATCCGACCATCTAGCAAGCCGTCCAGCTGGCAGGTGGACAACAATGAAGTGGGCAACCTAGGTTGGAAGGTACATGCCCAGGGGAGGAAGTGCAGATGAGGGTGACAGGTGGACAAATGGATGGATGGATGATGATGATAGCGGGCAGGACGGGCCAAGTGACACTAGGACACATTGACAGAAGTGACGGATATGCCGGGTCATGACAACAACATGAATAGAATATGGTCAGTCATCCTGAAAAAAACAAGAGACTCGACCCCCCTAGTACTTGGAATTTCCTATGGAAGCTCCCACATGGCCCACACACAAAAACCGTAGAGAATTCTTTAAAGACCAAGCCGACTGCAAAGGATGCAGCTGCCTATATAGTGTCCAAGTGCCTGCTAAAATCAAGGCCCCCAAAGTTTGGGGATGCCACCAAGAAAATGTGCACCAAGAAAAGCATCCAGTGGCCAAGAGGCCAGGCATGAATATATGCTGTTAGCATGTGTCAGTTCTCGATAGAAGTATTTGTTCGTTGTTGGCATCTCACAGGTCCACGCTCAGAGCGACGTCAAAACACTTGACTTCGACAGTACTTGCAGATATATCAGCGCGGATCTCTGTGATAGGACAGACCAAGGCCAAATATACGAAGGGTTGGACGATTTACTCATAGTTCGTGTGCTTATATTCGGATGGGGCGATATCTTCGGATATCTAGGGTGAAACAGAAAGGAATGATCGCGATAACACTAAGTGCATGAGCAAACGGAGGCCAGGGCACCATCGGGCTGTAGGCAACTATGATGCACCCAAGGATGAATGTTGGGAGAACGAAACGTCAGGGATTGCAATGCGTGATGCATTCAACGTTTCAAGATGGACAACCATGCTGGGAAATGACACGATGCATGGTCAAGAATAGGATGCTCCATCAACTGCACACCACCGGCATTCAACTAGATGAACTAGACTGTGCCCTATCACGGCGGACCAGAGCCGGGACTGAGGGGCGCCGCTTGTGGGGTCAGGGGGACCCCGAGGACAGATGTGAGCCGAGGAGTTCTGCTGTCACAGCAAACACTTGGCACGGACCTAAGCCTTCACGCGGTGTGTTGAAGCACCAGCTTAGCTTTAGCAGGTGGGGGATAGTTGTAGACTGTTAAAGTAACCATAGATATCTGAATCTGTGTATACCGTCTCTGATGAAGGTACCATCGTCTAGCTGGCGCTTTCTGACCACTACGCCCTCAAACCACGTACCAGCGACCCTATGCATTCTCACCTTCTTCCTTTGCCGCTTCTGTTACCATGGGGCCAACAATTGGACGCCATATTGCGCTTTTAGCAATATTTGGTATCGTGATGCTCGCACCAATTCATTGTAGGCCAAACATGAGTTAGAACAGGTGAGAATAGACTGGGCTCTCTGGCTCCGTGGTCGAAAGGTCGGGCTTCTATGGAACAAAGAATGGACCGTTCCATTAACAATCATTTGTACAGACAACACCACCCGCCAGATCTGACATTACTTTGCCTCAAACTGGAAGATGATGAGGTTGTCGCTTTCAAAGAAGTTTCCTTGACACACATTCAGGTCTATTTCTGACGATGGCTCCGACCATGGAATTATCGTGTCCCCCCACCGCTGCTGCACCAGTGTAGACTGAACGATAGCACAAGCTTGGTCATATGTTGCCTCCTATTTGCCGCACACATCAACATGCACTCTTGTTGCTCGGATTCCAATGTGGTGAGTAGATCTGGAAAGCCAATTTCATGAGAATAAGCACGGCCCAAAGTTGAGAACTCTTTAAATTCGTCCCATTTAAAAGACGCAGGCCTTCCAGAACACAAAGACAGCTGGGCAAGAGTTTGCGCGCACGCGCTGGAGCTCACCCTCAGTAGGCAACACAGTTGCCTAGATCGACACCAAATAACACTTACAGCTGGCATAAACGGGTGAATTAGACTCGTACCCAGTCATTTTCCCCGCGCGCGCGACACGCCATGGAAAAGTGACTAAGCCGATTGCCTTCAGACGCCATAGTATCTAGCAGATACCGAAGATCTAGCCTCTTAATCTCATCAATCCTTGATGTGGGTGTAACTATGGCTGTGATGGTGCGACTTTCATGCACAATAATGAGTGACAACGCCCATAAAACGTCGGATGTTAATGCAGCTAGCGACAGACACACGTCATCAAGGGGCGACGATGTGACCTTCGAGATGAGGGAATCCTCAATCCTCCAAGACAGGACACTGTGCTAACAAGAGGGTGTAACTTGGGGCGGTCGACGAAGCATCCTATCGGTATTGCGAACACATGGTTGTACGTACCATGTCCCAGGATTTCTATTAGTACACAAAAACCTTCAGCACATCTTCGGGGTATCAGGGTATCGTACTGGCCTTTAGTTCGGGGACGCGTCCTTGATAGAAATTCGCCGCTTGTGTTAAAAGTACTGATGGCCCATGGGCTGGAAGAGTTAGGACACCATTCCTTTAGGAATCAAAACGCCTCATCCTCCAACCAGCCCATTACACTCGCAATGCCCAAGATTGCCTTGAAGTATACAGTAGACGAATTTCACACTTGCGCCCCCCGGAGAACGCCGAACGTGGGAGTGCAAGTCACAAGTGGCAAATATCTTGGTCAACCGCGATGACTTCCCCATTCTGAGGTAGTTTTGAAACCAAGATCGAGGCACCCTAAAAGGTTTCGTTGATTTCAGCTGTGATGTCATGTCACCCTTCGCGCTTATCTCGGCAGCACTGCAAATTAAGTGACCCTCTTGAGTGCTTTCTGCTGGCATATAAGTTTTCTCCAGCGGCTTGCGGCTGGGGGACTGATAAGGACAGAATTAACACTGCCTTGATGTCCATGTTCAACTGGCACGTACTTGCTCTAAGTGAACTGGGATATGGCCTTCTTAATCTGTGAGAGCGCGTGCAGCAGCGCGGCATGACTTTATACTCTCTCGTTCAGGTCTCAGGCTGTTCAGTTCTAAGGCGAATGCGGATCCGATGTTTAATTTCCGGTAATGGGTGTGTGTGTGTGTGTGCGCGCGCGCGCGGCCTAATTTCATACCTTCCTAAAAAAGCCCGGCAATTTTTCAAGCAACGTGTACCCCCCCACTTCTTTGTTGGTGTGGTTTACTTCTTGTCGCCTTGCTTGAGGGCTGTGCAATAGATCATCTAGGCCCTATCTAAGCGGACTCAGTAGCGATTAGACATTTCCCAAGATGTCAATAATTTGAAAAAACTTGTTCTCCTTTGGAGCTCTTGAACGTTCTAGCGTTGAACTTGTTGATCCCATGAAATTCCCTGTTGCACACCTCCTCTTGATTTCTCGGCAAGGCAGTTGAAATCTACCGATCTCTAATGGACAAGAGCTTTGTGAGATCGACGCCATCAAGTAGATCCTCCACTTATGCAAAAGACAGCTTTTGGTGTTGTACGAATCAGTTGAATTTGATTTTAGGCTTTAAATGGACCCTCGCAGAAGCTGCGTGGTTAACAGAAGGCTATGCACTACCGTATAATAAAGCTTCCAGGCGAATGTCGTGTCCGTGTTGTACCCCCCGTTCCAATGACAACCGCTCTCATCACGTTTATTCTCGCCAACAACGCCTACGCCGCACCGATCCTCCCCTATCCACCTCTCAACGCCACCAGTTTGTCGATAAACATATCGGAAGCATGCAATGACCTTCGGAATTGCCGTACCATGTGGAATCTCGTTTACAGCTGTCTTCTGACAATATTTATTTGCGTATGGACGGCTGTACACCCGGAAGTGGTGGAAGAGGACAGGGGCCGTATGGATCTGATAGGGTTAATTGTGGGGGGACGTGATCGTTTCGGCTTAATGAGGAGTTCCCTGATTTTCCCAGAAGTTGTTGTTGCTATGGCATGGTATGAATTCTCATTTGCCTGGAAAATATCAAGGGAATGTGAAAATGTCGAAGGTATGGAGTGAATCAATTGAGACGAAAGCTTGACACCTATTGATTTTCACATGCTAGGGTGGACACTTGTGCATTCATACTTTCTCATTATGGGAGGTTTCATTGACCCAACGACACGTTTCTTTCGTCGACGTGATCCCTCTTTCTTTGGCCAATACCCTGGCATCATTCGGAAGACGGGAAATCGTCAGGCTGTTGCGGTGACGAGGCAGGAAATTCTCCGCAAAACCAAAGGCGATTTTTTATCCAAGTCTATTGTATCTCTTCAATTGCTGTGGTTCATCGTTCAATATGTGGGGCGATGGATCGGACATCTGCACATATCACAGCTTGAGACGATGACGCTTGGATACTCCGCGCTGAGCATTATTATCTGTGCGTTGTGGTGGCATAAGCCTCTTGATGTCCGTTCGCCAATTCAAGTGACAAAAGAGGACACACCTCACGTTCCGACTTCCGAGGCCGATGTCACTCAAGTGCCTCTTGAAGTAGAGAATGAGGCACATTCGCCTTCACTTGCGGCCAGAGCCATTGGCCGAGCTTGTGACGCATTTGTTGAATTGGATGGAGGATGGATACTTATAATCACCGGCGCGATCTTCGGCGGAATTCACTGTTCTGCGTGGTCCTTCCCTTTTCCGACACACGCGGAATCACTTATATGGCGCATTTGTGCAGTATATATTACTGTAGCTCCTGCTCTTGGCTTCGGTGCATTCGTAATACTGAGTAGCGATTTCGACAAATGGGCTGGTTGGGCCACTGGGACCATTTATGTCGTTGCCTGGGTCATCCTCTTCACACTGACGTTCACATCCCTCCGCTCTCCTTCTCCTTCTCTATATCGAACGCCATCTTGGTCTTCCTTTATTCCCCATCTCGGATAAGATGTATATATTTTTCGTCATCTCACCTGTTTTGTGATTGGAGGACAAGGGCTTGGTCAGGGGAAAAGGGCGGCAAGCTAGATGGATTTAGCTACAAATTTGCATTAGTGATCCGCACCCAGGACACAGATGCTCTATATATAAGCACACATACGGAAGGGGCTTAATGAGCAACTATGATAACATGCGGGCTCATTCAATCCAGTCCGAGTGTCTAGTAGGCAACTCGTCTGCAGCTGGAATTCGCGGACCATTGCCACTCGCCGACTGTCATCATGGATTCGCTGGTCTCAGCCATTCGAAAACTCCGAGGTCACCCTGCACATCCTCATGTTCAAAGATCCGCTTTGTATATCATGTATAACAAATGATATTTCGTCGTGGTTCCGGTGATTATAAAATGGTAAGGCATAAGACATCTTCCTTGTTCCCGTATCATTGTCCCAGTGCCTACTTTCCCTCCATGTTCACTTCTTAACCTCACCAGTTTCTCATAAAGCATATTGGAAGTATACAACAACTGTCATAATTAACCGTCCAGTGGACTTTCATCGTGTCAAATTCCTCACGATAGTACTTAATCGACCTGAGCGTTCTCGTAAGTGTGTAAAGCCTTGATAATTCCACGATTCAACTAGAGAAGCCATCCTCCCGATTTTCGGATCAACTGTCCTCTAAACCGGAGAATGATGCAAATCTAGCTTTCCTCGGATCACGGAATCGAATTCCCTTGTAGGTAATTTAGGCACCTCCATTGTTTTTAATTGAATGACCCTCCCGCTTCCAATGCACAAGGAGACCCCGGCCCCTCTCTTGTAGCACATTATTGTACTAATGTAGCCCCTGTTGTTATATCAGACGCCTCGGTTTTTTGCAAGATTCCTTGAGCGCATGAGTAGGCCACTCTCTACGTTTGTCGTTGCGCGGGTTATCCTTGTCCTGACATTCAGATCCCTCTGCTTTGCGTGCCGTCTATGCCAGAAACTGTCCTGACCCTCCTACATTCTCAACATTAATGGACGAATATACATATCGCCCCCTCGTCATCTTACGTCTCTTAGAAATGAGCACCCTTGAATATGCCCGCAAGGAGTTGCGCCGCGACTTCGGAAGTAGAGTTGGCGTTCAAATCGGGTGATGGAAGTAGTAAATTAATTGCTCTCACACCCTGAGCCCCAACCGAATGGGTCATGCAAAGTCGTCCATATGGAGCGCCGGGTGGGGCTTAAAAAAGGTTGGGATCGATTTTACAGTGGAATTACAAATAGAAGCATCCTTGTGGGGCGAAGATAGGATTGCATGCAAGGGGGGTTGAGAACCAGACTTTGGGCACAATATCCCTTTGATTTATTCAACGGTACTTGAAATACATATCAGCATTAATAATACTGGAAAACCGCAGTTACTGATGAGCTGTCCTACTTCAATGCCAGTGATTATGAGACCGTTGTAAAAATTGAAACTGGAGTGTACGTACTTGTTGAGGCGTAAAGCTGCACGAAGCTAAGGGACGTTCAATAATTCTTAAACAGCGGATCTGCGACTGCTTCTCAGTTATATACAGTCGGCCACAGATGTCCGTGACTACATCAGCATGCACGCGCAAAATGGTGTTTCCGGCAAGGAGATGAGCCAATACCAAACTCAGATATGGATGCGCCTGCTAGCACTGTGCATGCATTTAAGGATGTCTACTAATTCATAGCCAGCCTAGCGCTAACAATTCACTTCTAGTATAGTTGGAAACATGCCCCGTGGCGGAGAGGAAAATACTGGTACCACTTGAGGTGTGAACTCCTGCTGAGCACCTTGACATCATCGGGAACGGCAAAGACCCTCAACGACCCCCAACAACAAGGTGGTACATCTGAAATTGTTCCGCCAGGTGTCGAATTAGGGATGAAAGCCCATGCTGAGCGTTTCCCAATTGAAACCTAGCTCCAATTTCTACGCTCGGACTCGTCAGTGTTTGCTGTTCCATTTAGGGATATTGGTCTTTCTAAAGTGCTCTCGGAACACCATCCTTCGTTGCGTTTCTACATGATACAAGCAACGAGGAATCCTATTACACCCTGGAGAACCCCGAACGTGGCAGTGCGAGTCACAAGTGGTGGTCACTGCGATGACTTCTTAACCGCCCATTGCGGCCCCACAGCCATCTATGCGAAGCCGATAACTTTGCTAGGCAGGTTACCAGCCGGTATTGGAATAGACTTCGCCCCTAGTTTTGCAGCCAAGATCGAGGTGCCCTCAGCTTTGACGTCATCCTTCGCGCGCGCGCCCATCTCGTCAGGAGGCAGCATGGAAAAATAAATGATCTTCTTAAGCGCTTTCTGCTGGCAGCTAAGTTCTCTCCAGCGGCTTGTGGCTGGGAGATTGATAAGGACAGGTTCAATACTGCCTTGATACCCCTGTATGTTCAACTGGCACGCACTTGCTCTAAGTGAACTGGGATACGACCCTCTTAATCTGTGAGAGCGCGTGCAAGCAGCGCTGCATGGCTTCATACACTCTCATTTAGGTCTTAGGCTGTTCAAGTCCAAGGCGAATGTGGCTCCAATGCTCAATTTCCGGTAATGGGTGCGTGCGCGCGGCCTCATCTCATACCTTCCTAGAAAAGCCCGGTAATTTTTCAAGCGGCGTGTACCCCCCCTTTTTTTGTTGGTGTGATTTACTTCTTGTCACCCTGCTTGAGGGCTGTGCAATAGATCATCTAGGCCCTATCTAAGCGGACTCAGTAGCGATTAGACATTTCCCAAGATGTCAATAATTTGAAAAAACTTGTTCTGTTCGATCCTCCTTTGGAGCTCTTGGAAGTTTTAGCGTTGAACTTGTTGATCCCGTGAAATTCCCTGTTGCACACCTCCTCTTGATTTCTCGGCAAGGCAGTTGAACTCTAATCAACAAGGGCTTTGTGAGATCGACGCCATCACCCATTTATGTAAATCCCTTCCAAAGACCGCTTTTGGTGTTGTGCGAATGAGCTGAATTTGATTTTAGGCTTTAAATGGACCCTCGCAGAAGCTGCGTGGTTGACAGAAGGCTATGTACCCAGTGGTGTATAAAGCTTCCAGGCGAATGTCGTTTCCGTGTTGTACCCTCCGTTCCAATGACAACCGCTCTCATCACGTTCATTCTCGCCAACAACGCCTACGCCGCGCCGATCCTCCCCTATCCACCTCTCAGTTTGTCGATAAACGTATCGGAAGCATGCAATGACCTTCGGAATTGCCGTACCATGTGGAATCTCGTTTACAGCTGTCTCCTAACAATATTCATCTGCGTATGGACGGCTGTACACCCGAATGTGGTGGAAGGAGATAAAGGTGATATGGATCTGGCGGAGATTGTGAATAGGGATGATCGTTTCGGCTTAATGAGGAGATCCCTGATTTTCCCAGAATGGGTTGTTGCTACGGCATGGGATGAATTCTCAGAAGCCTGGAAAATATCAAGGGAATGTAAAAATGTCGAAGGTATGGAGTGAATCAATTGAGACGAAGCTTGACCTATTGATTTTCACATGCTAGGGTGGACACTTGTGCATTCATACTTTCTCAGAATGAGGGGTTTCATTGACCCAACGACACGTTTCTTTCATCGGAATGATCCCTCCTTCTTTGGCCAATACCCTGGCATCATTCGGAAGACGGGAAATCGTCAGGCTGTTGCGGTGACGAGGCAGGAAATTCTCCGCAAAAGCAAAGGCGATTTTTTATCCAAGTCTATTGTATCTCTTCAATTGCTGTGGTTTATCGCTCAATATGTGGGGCGATGGGTGGGACATCTGCACAGATCGCAGCTTGAGACGATGACGCTTGGATACTCCGCACTGAGCATTATCATCTGCGCGTTGTGGTGGCACAAGCCCCTTGATATCCGTTCGCCAATTCAAGTGATGAAAGAGGACCCTGCTCACGTTCCGACTTCCGAGGCCGATGTTGCTCAAATACCTCTTGAAGTAGAGAATGAGGCAGATTCGCCTTCACTTGCGGCCAGAGCCATTGGCCGAGCTTGTGACGCATTTGTTGAATTGCATCCCTTTTGGATACTTGTAATCACCGGCGCCATCTTTGGCGGAATTCACTGTTCTGCATGGTCCTTCCCTTTTCCGACACACGCGGAAGCACTTATATGGCGCATTTGTGCAGTATATATTACAGTAGCTCCTGCTCTTGGCCTCGGTGCATTAGTAATATTGAGTGACGCAAGCCACGAGTTTGGTTTGGCCACTGGGACGATTTATGTCGTCGCCCGGATTATCCTCTTCACACTGACGTTCGCATCCCTTCGCTCTCCTTCTCCTTCTCTATATCGAACGCCGTCTTGGTCTTCTTTTATTCCCCATCTCGGATAAGATGTATATATTCAAGTTCGTGATCTCACCTGTTTTGTAATTGGAGGACAGGGGCCTGGTCAGGGGGAAAGAGCGGCCAAGCTAGATGGATTTAGCTATTAATTTGCATTGGTGATCCGCACACAGGACATGGACGCTCTATAAGCACGCGTATATACGGAAGGGGCTTAATGGGCAACTATGATAATCATACGGACTCACTCAATCCATTCCGAGTGCCTAAGCTAGCTAGTAGCCAACTCGTCTGCAGCTGGAATTCGCAGACCATTCCCACTCGCGGACGTCATCATGGATTCGCTGGTCTCAGCCATTCGAAAACTCCGAGGTCGCCTTGCACCGCCTCGTGTTCAAAGATCCACTTTGCATATAACAAATAATATTTCGTCGGGATACTGCTTCAGCAACCATTCTCAACGGACGCTAGTTGCGTACGTTTCAATTTCCATGATTGACGCGTGGTGGGCAGTGCAGGGTTGGTTGCGGTGATTATAAAATGGTAGACGTCTTTCATGTTCTCATATCAGAAGAGTGCAACATGAACTGTCATAATCAACCGTCCAGTGGACTTTCATTGCATCAAATCCCTCATGATACTTAGGCCTGCATCTGACTCTTCCTCCCGATTTTCGGATCAACCGTCCTCTAAACCGGAGAATGATGCAAATATAGCTTTCCTCGGATCACGGAATCAAAGGTAATTTAGCCACCTCCATTGTTTTTAATTGAATGACCCTCCCACTTCCAACGCACAAGGAGACCCCCTCTTGTGGCGCATTATTGCACTAATGTTTATTACGGTAGCCCGGGCCCTGTTGTTATATCAGACGCCTCGGTTTTTTTGCAAGATTCCTTGAGCGCATGAGCAGGTCGCTCGAGCACCTTTCCTTGTCATGTCACTCACCGAGTGTTTGTGTATCAGATACGAGCTGGCGCACGAGCGGTTTGAGCGGCAAGCTGGATGGATTTAGCTATTTGTATTGGTGATCCGCACATGTACACAGGACACGGATGCTTTATAAGCACTCATACCGAAGGGGCTCCATAGTATCATGCAGCAGTCCCGAGTGTCTTGTACATGGCCAACTCGTCCGCAGCTGGAATTCGCAGACCATTGCCACCTGCGGATGACAGAACAACGGTTCACTGGTCTCAGTTATTCGAAAACTCTGAGGTCGCGTTACACCATGGTACGTCAAAGATCCGCTTTGCATATCCCGGATAACTCGTGGGGCTACTGCTTCAACGCCATTGCCAGTGGATGCTGACGACGCGTACATTTCAATTTCCGCGATTGACGCGCGGTACCACCCTATAATTAATCACCGGAACCAGCCCTGCACTGCGCAGTGTTGCCAGTGCATAAGACGTCTTTCTTGTCCCCATATCTTGGTTCCCATTTTTCCCTCCATGTTCTCGCCAGTTTCTCATAAAGCATATTGGAAGTGTGCAACATCACCCAAAGACGAATGTTAGGAGAACGAAACATCAGGGATTGCGGCCAAGGTCTCTTGGAAACTGTGACGTGCACAATGCATGATGCATTCAACGTTTCACATGCTGGGGAATGACACGTCGACGCATGGTCAAGACTAGGATGCTCCACCAACCACACACCGGCATTAAACTAGATGAACCAGACTACGCCCTATCGCAGTGGACTGGAGCCAGAGGTACATGCTGAGCCATGGCCTCCTGCGCCACTTGCGGAGTCAGGGGGCCCCGACGACGGATGTGAGCTGAGGAGTTCTGCTGTTGCAGCAAACACTTGGTACGGACCCTACACGGACGAACCTAAGCCTTCATGCGATGTGTTGAAGCACCAGCTCAGCAGGTGGCTTGGTTGGGATAGCTGTAGACTCTTAAAGTCAAGTGCTGTAACCACAGATGTCTGAGTCTGTGTATACCGTCCCCGATGAAGGCGCCATCGTCTAGCTGATCACTTTCCTGACACAGTCAGATGCCATAGTATTCAGAAGATACCGCAGATGTAGCCTCTTAATCCCGTTGATTCTTGATGTGGATGTAACTATGGGGAGGCGCAGGAAACCTTGGGGCAGTGATGGTGCGATTTTCGATCAGTGACAATGCCCATAAAACGTCCGATGTTAATGCGGCTAGCGATAGATACGTGTCATCAAGGGGCGACGATGGGACCTTTGAGACGCTTGAAATGAAGGGATCCCCAATCCTCCAAGACAGAACATGAGAGCATAACTTGGGGTGGTTCACGAAGCATCCTATCGGTATCGCGAACATACGGCTGTACGTACCATGTCCCAGGATTTCTAGCAGTATATGAAACCTCCTACTAGCACATTGCACTCGCAATGCCCAAGATTGCCCTGAAGTAAAGTAAGGTAGGCGAACTTAATACTCTCCCGGAGAATCCCGAATGTGGCAGTGAAGTTGGCAAATATTTTCGGTCATGGCGATGATCTCTGTACTTTTTAACCGCCCATGCGGCCTTACAGCCATCTACACGAAGCCGATAACTTTGCTAGGCGGGTTACCAGCCTCTATTGGGATAGACTTCGCCCCTACTTCATGCAGCCAAGATCGAGGTACCCTAAAAGGTTTCGTTGACCTCAGTTCCGCTGTGACCCTTCGCGCCTATCTCGTCAGGAGCCAGCACTGCAAATTAAGCTGACAAAAAGCTATGCACCCAGTGGCTCTACCGTACAATGTAAGGCTTCCAGGCAAATGTCGTTTCCGTGTTGTATCCCCAAGTTCCAATGGCAACCGCTCTCATCACGTTTTGGTGAACCATTCTTTGCCATACTGGTCCCTCTTTTTCCTTCCGCCGAAATGCTTGGACAAGGCATTCTTGTCCGAGTCGCTCGCAAGTCGGTTTGTCCAAGTCCTTTCTTGAGGATTGCATGACCGGCTCATCGCGAACTGATACTTACGAATGATTTGGCCCGAGATTCTCACGCGGTGTCCGCGCGTCCAATCGACACAGCAGTACTGTGCCAGCCGGGGACCATCAAGGTCGGGCTGAAAGCCGACACCCGTATTCTAGTTAGATGATATGTGCAATGGGAGTGGCGAGCCCGATGGATTCAACCATTTGCGCGCGCACCCTGTCACCAGGCAAAGATACGCCGATCTCAGCTCTGGCGTGGCCTTTATGCCTGTCTCGTGAGGAAACAACACCCCAATAAACCAAGTGCTCCCTTTCCGCTGGCCCGGATTCCCCCTGACAGCTCATGAGGGACTGATAAGGACAGGATTGACTTTGCCTCGAGGCCCACGCGTGTTCAACGTGCACTTATGGGGGGACGAGGATATGGCGATTAATTTCTGAGACCCTGCGCCCGCGCGGTATATGTAGTTGCGTTTTCTTGTTTTTGTCCCGATGGATTCACCCATTCGCGCGCACCCTGTCACCACGTCGATCTCAGCCCTGGCGTGACCCTTGTGCCTGTCTCGTGAGGAAGCAACATCCCAGTGAACCAAGTACTCTCATTTCGCGCGCTGGCCTGCGTTTCCTCTGACAGTTTGTGAGGAACCGATAAGGACAGGACAGGCTTTGCCTCGAGGCCCATGCGTGTTCAACAAGCACTTCTTGCGGAGGAACGAGGATACGGTGATCAATTCCCGAGAAGCCGCGCGCCCGCGCGGCGTGATTCCATACCCTCTTAGAAAAGCTCGATGGTTTCCCCCAGCGGCACACATTCCCTTGTATGCGTTTATGTCTTATTGTCTGCTTCGATACTGTGCAATAGCTCATCTGGCCTCTGTCTGAAGGGGCTCGGCAGTGATTAAACACCTCCCATGCAAGATGTCAATATGAAATGCCTGTTGTGTTCATAATTTGAAGATCATGGGAGTTCCAGCGTTGAATTCGCTGGTCCCGCGAAACCCCTGTTGCACCCCTGCTTCTGATTTATAGCCAGGCAGTTGAAATCCACTGACCTCTAATCGGAAAGAACTTTGTGAGTTCGGTATCACCAAGCGTTCATGTAAACCCCTTACAAAAACTGCTTCGCTGTTGTGCGAATGAGCTGAATTTGATTTTTGGATGTCGCGACCCTCCTCACAGAAACTGCACGGTTGACAGAAGGCTATGTACCCAGTGGCGTATAAAGCTTCCAGGTGAATGTCGTTCCGTGCTGTACCCCCGCTCCAATGGCAACTGCTCTCATCACATTCATTCTCGCCAACAACGCCTACTCCACGCCGATCCTCCCCTATCCACCTTTCAACGCCACCAGTTTGTCGATAAATATATCCGAAGCATGCAATGACCTTCGGAATTGCCGTACGATGTGGAATCTCGTTTACAGCTGTCTCCTAACAATATTCACCTGCGTATGGACGGCTGTACACCCGAATGTGGTGGAAGGAGATAGGGGTGATATGAATCTGGAAGATGAAATAATGAGAAATGATCGTTTCGGCTTGATGAGGAGTTCCCTGATTTTCCCAGAATTGGTTGTTGCTATGGCATGGAATGAATTCTCAGAAGCCTGGAAATTATCAAGGGAATGTAAAAATGTCGAAGGTATGCAGTGAATCGATTGAGACGAACGCTTGACCTATTAATTTTCACATGCTAGGGTGGACACTTGTGCATTCATACTTTCTCAGAATGGGAGGTTTCATCGATCCAACGACACATTTCTTTCGTCGATATGATTCCTCCTCCCTTGGCCAATACCCTGGTATCATTCAGAAGACGGGAAATCGTCAGGTTGTCGCGGTGACGAAGCAGGAACTTCTCCACAAAAGCAAAGGCGATCCTTTATCCAAGTCTATTGTATCTCTTCAATTGCTGTGGTTCATCGCGCAATATGTGGGGCGAGGGGTGGAACATCTGCACAGATCGCAGCTTGAGACAGTGACGCTTGGATACTGCGTACTGAGCATTGTCATCTGTGCGTTGTGGTGGCATAAGCCCCTTGATGTCCGTTCACCAATCCAAGTGACGAAAGAAGACCCAGCTCAGCTTCTGACTTCCGAGGCCAATGTTGCTCGAGTGCCTCTTGAGGTAGAGAACGAGGCGGATTCACCTCCACTTACAGCCAAAGTCATTGGCCGAGTTTGTGACGCATTTGCTGAATTGGAGGAATTTTGGATACTTGTAATCACTGGCGCCATCTTTGGCGGAATTCACTGTTCCGCGTGGTCCTTCCCTTTTCCGACACACGCGGAATCACTTATATGGCGCATTTGTGCAGTATATATTACGGTAGCACCTGCTCTTGGCCCCGGTGCAGTAGAAATATTGACCAGCACAAGGTTTCAGTCTTACCAATTCCACGGAGACAGAGTGTTTGGTTTGGCCGCTGCGACGATTTATGTCGTCGCCCGGATTATCCTCTTCGTACTGACGTTCGCATCCCTCCGCTCTCCTTCTGCTTCTCTATATCGAACGCCATCTTGGTCTTCCTTTATTCCCCATCTCGGATAAGATGTATATATTTTTCGTCATCTCACCTGTTTTGTAATTGGAGGACAAGGGCCTGGTCAGGGGAAAAGGGCGGCAAGCTAGATGGATTTAGCTACAAATTTGCATTAGTGATCCGCACCCAGGACACAGATGCTCTATAAGCACACATACGGAAGGGGCTTAATGAGCAACTATGATAACATGCAGGCTCATTCAATCCAGTCCGAGTGTCTAGTAGCCAACTCGTCTGCAGCTGGATCGAATTCGCGGACCATTGCCACTCGCCGACTGTCATCATGGATTCGCTGGTCTCAGCCATTCGAAAACTCCGAGGACGCCCTGCACATCCTCATGTTCAAAGATCCGCTTTGTATATTATGTATAACAAATGATATTTCGTCGTGGTTCCGGTGATTATAAATGGCAAGGCATAAGACATCTTTCTTGTTCAATCCCATATCATGTCCCAGTGCCTACTTTCCCTCCATGTTCACTTCTTAACGTCATCGGTTTCTCATAAAAAGTATACAACAGCTCCAGTGGACTTTCATCGCGTCAAATTCCTCACGATAGTACTTGACTTCCATATCTGACTGAGCGTTCTTGATAATTCCACGATTCAACTAAAGAAGCCATCCTCCCGATTTTCGGATACACCGTCTTCTAAACCGGAGAATGACGCAAATCCAGCTTTTTCCTCGGATCACGGAATCGAATCCCCTTGTGGGTAATTTAGCCACCGCCGTTATTAATGTTGGTGGAATCCCTTAATTGGATGGCCCTCCCGCTTCTAACGCACAAGGAGACCCCCCTGTTATTGCATTGTTTATTACGGTAGCCCGCCTTATCAGACGCCTCGGTTTTTTTTGCAAGATTCCTTGAGCGCATGAGCAGGTCACTCTCTACACCTGTCCCTCCTAGATTCTCAATGTTAATGGACGAATATATATATATCGCCCCGCGTCATCTTACGTCTTTTACAAATGAGCACCTTTGTGTGTGAATATGCCCGCAAGGAGTTGCGCCGCGACTTCGGAAGTAGAGTGGCGTTTAAATTGAGTGACGGAAGTAGTAAATGACACCACGAGCCCGATCAAGTCGACCACATGGAGCACCGGGTGTGGGGCTTGGAAGGGGTTGGGATCAATTTTATGATGGAATCACAAATAGAAGCATCCGCCACTTAGGTTGTGGAGCGAAGATAGGGTTGCATGCAGGTGGGGTTGAGAACCAGAATTTAACCGCAATATCCGTTTATTTTGACATACATATCAGCATTAATAGCAAACTGTAGTTACGGAGTTGTCCTCCCACTTCAATGCCAGTGTGCATGATTATGAGACTGTTGTAAATGTGCAAGAAAATGCAACTGGTGTGTACGTACTTGCTGAGGCGTAAAGCTGCATCCAACGAAGCTAAGGGACGTTCAATGCTTAAACAGTGGAAAGTATTCCAATTAAATACAACCCCGTTTTTCATCCATACACACTAGGTGAAATCGGCCGCATACCATATACCTCTGCGACTGCTTCTTAGTTATATACGGTCGCCCGCAGATGTCGGTGACTACGTCGGCATGCGCGCGCAGGGTCATGCATGCTTCCGGCGAGGAGACGAATCCCAAACTCAGATATAGATGCGCCGGCCTGCTAGTACTATGCACGCATCTAAGGGTGTCTACTGATTCATAGCCGGCCTAGCGCCAACAATTCGTTTCCAACGTTGGAAACACACCCCGTGGCGGATAGGAAAATAGTGGCACCACATGAGGTGTGAACTCCTGCTGAGAGCCCGGACATCATCGAGAAGGGCAACGACCCTCAACAGCAACGTGGTACATCTGAAGCCGTTTCCCCCAGCTCCTATATCGGCGTCGAACTAGGGATGGAAGCCCCATACGTCCTGAGCGTTTCCCAATTGAATTTAGACATAGCTTCAATTTCTACGCTCGGACTCATCACTGTAGAAACGCAACAAAGGATGGTGTTCGGAGGGGCACTTTAGAAAGACCAATGGAACATCCATCCAGGCGAACATGATAGTATAAGTACAAGTAACGGAGGAATGCTTGACATGATGGCATGGTGTTTAAATGGGATCTTGACCGATTTCAAGTTGTCCTTGTTTATCGCCAGCCAATTCGATTTTGGGCTCCGCCGACAGTATACAATACGCGGGTCATTGACATGCAGGCAGCAAAGCCCACCGTAGGGTCGCCAGTCCAGGCCAGGCTAGCGCAGACAAGGCACACAGTGTAACCTAGCGAAGATGGGCAGTTATACTTTACAGGGCTGATGGAAAGCCCTTGAAACTTGTCGAGTTGCCACGTAGTTTGCACGCAGCGTGTTGTAGGTTTGGAGTCAGTGACCGGGCTGAATGCGGACACTGCCGCATTAACCTCGGTTGTCGAGGTCCTCAAATAATATTTCGATTTCGATTTCGAACCACCGTGACATCGCCAATCCTTCCCCAAGCTAGTCGGCCACCATGAACATGTCCGTGCATCAAGTCACCTCTGATTCAATGGATACGGGCCTTCGACAGGCATGGAGGCTATCGCATTTGGCTCTCCAAGTGGCGCAAAGTGGTAATCATGTATTCGCAGAGCGCCTCCACCGAGAGAGCCTAAAACTCAAAGAAACGCACGACCCTAGGGACGTAGTAGGAATCGCGGTCTCAAAAAATGCGCTTGGGGAAGCATTGTACAGCCAGGGGAAATATAACGAGGCGTATGAAGTCCTAACACAGAGCTTAGCCATCCGGTCGGAGGTGCTACAGGGACGTGACCATAAGTACGATGCTGCGGTGACCAGGGAAAACCTGGCCCAAACGCTGCAATCTATGGGAAAAGCCCAGGAGGCTAGAGACGTAAGGGTTCGCGGAATTGCTCTTGGTCAACTTTGCTGTTCGAATTACAAGGTTAGAGCGTCATCTTATCCGTGATAATCCCCTCGGTCTCACCTTCCGAGGGAAGTGTCCCGGGCAGCTCTTCACCAGGAATGAGCTTAAACAGTGTGGGGGATGTGGAGTAAGTGATTGTGCCATTCCCTTTTTTTTTTTTTATGATAACTCACACATATAATTGGCGCCCCTGCAGCTGCCGCATTATTGCAGCGTCAACTGTCAGGTATGGATATGGATATGGTCCTACACTATCCCTCACCGCATCATGTAAAACTAATCACTTTCTTGTTTAACCCATGTATCGGTACCTTGAATTGCAGTATGATGCCATTCTCCGAGCATTTTGGGGATATTATGGATGGTTTTTTCCCCATAGGTTTGAAGATTACACTGTGGGAAGTAAAGGGCCGTAAAAAACCATTTTTGGTCTGGTTTTTGACCATTTACCATTGTTTTCGTGATATTTTTTTCATTGTAAATTACAATATACGTTTCACGATGCTAAATACCAGACTCTTCCCTGCGTAAATTACCACTCAATTCATGGTATTCGAGCTGCGATGAATTGTACAAAGGTCAGAGGTATGGACGGCCGGAGTTCGGTTAGTCATCGTCGTCGATTGACCTTGCGAGCTCGCAACTGCGATCGATGATGGCCCAACAACGGGAATGCGTACGTACCATAGGGAAATCGGCCACATACTGAAGAGACCGAAGCGAGAGCGATAATTTGAGTGTAGTAAAAGAGGTCGGTGCCAAGGCAGCATCCATGTAAGCACCGCTATCTGAGACAAGGTCAACGAGGTGACGCATGTTCTCACAAGCGACGTTTTGTGACGTGCTCGGGGATTTGAGTCCACAGCTACTTCAGCTCAATAGTGAGAGTCATGAAATTCAAACACTCCTACCCAGACGAAGGATAAGTTCCTAAATTCAATTCGTTGTTTTTGGGCCCACATTGTGGAAACTTTGTCACCTCCCCCGACAATGCGTGATTTCCCTAGCGAGGCATAACCAAGAGCTCGATTATATGTTGGTACGGCTTGTTGTAGACATTAGTAAACTAGATCGCGACTTTGCGATGGGTGGAATTGTCAGGAATGTTTCTTGTCGCGAGGAGCCCCAAGTATGGAAGCTGGCACTTAAAGATGTAAGGGTAGGTGGGCAGAGACTGTGGCGCTTAGACTGAAATCGGACTAAGTTGTTCTCGGCAGTTTCCATTCCACTCAGTGCCTTATCCTCTCCACCATACCATACACGTTCTGCAACCTGCTCATTTCCTCCCAATTTGACTATCCTTTCGCTATGCAACTAGCTACTCTTCTCAGAAGTGGCAAGTACTTATGAATATGGACACTGGGCATGCTGCCTCACTGACAGCGATGCCATGAATGGCTTCCATCTGGACGTGTTTCAACGCATCTTTACGCGTCTTTAACTCATTGGTGAATGAGAAATAGCATTTATTTATTTTAGAAAATCATCAAGCCTCTCACAGCAAACAGGAATCTATGTTACCCAAGGGTCACACCTGTGGTAGAAAAGCTCGTGCATCTGCTTAGGGCGTAGTTTGGCCCCATGTGCGCTCATTAGTTTATCTCCCAACTACCTCTTCCCCCACTGCTGCCTTGCTAATTTCTGTTAGAACGCGGGAATTCGGACAACTCCGGAATGGAATCGGAGACTTAGCATGGAAGGACCTTGGCCTCAGCGACTCAGGCGGAGCGCTGTGCCATTGCTGGTTGTCCTAGGGGTCCCTAATTTCAGATCTAGCAGAGGGAAAGTCTCTTGGGGGGAATTCAAGTCGATTTTGGACTGAGGTTACAAGTTACTAGGTACATTGTATATAAGGAGGGGTCCGGAATCAAAAGGAACAAGGGTAGGACGAAAGGAGACAAAGGGAGATGGAAAGAGGAACAACACCGAGGGTCAAGTGTTTGACTCAATGGTGCTTCCCAAAGGAGGAATGAAGGGCCAAGGCCCAAGGAGGAAGGAAGGAGGATGGGAGTGGGGAATGGCCAGCTGACTGAATAGAAAGGAAGCAGCAGCCCAAATAGGAATGAGGGAGAATAGCGGAATTGAAATGGACAATGCAATAGTTGCAAGGTCCGGAGTAAGTCCGGAAAGTCCGAACTCGGAGGTTAAACTCCGGAATATTGGCAAAGGTAATTAAATGGAATGGGCTAACCAATACAATGGGTATAAGCGGAGGTGGGGTCAAAGTCCGAGGTCGGAGCTAAGACCGGAGGTTCCGGAGACGAGATGTGAACGGGATACCGGAGCGGAGGTCCGGAGTCGGGAGCATAGGTTTTGCGTACTCATCTGGAAGGTGTCGAGGTTGGGGTCGGACCCGGAATGTTCCGGAGTCGGACCGAAGGTGGTGTCCGAGCCGGAGGTGGGATAACCTCTTGGGAGTCGGCAAGGAGAAGGTGACGGAAGGGAAGTAGGGCTCCGGAAGTCGGAGTTCCGGGAGCCCGGAGCAGAGGTCGGGATTGTATGGATATGACAATTTCCCCCTGTGCTAGTAACCAAAAAACGCGACTGGAATTCGAAAGTGATGATAATGACCAAGGCCCGATGACAACCACCTCTACTAGTACCGCCAAAAAAGAAGGAAAGACCGCCTCGTGAAGCTGTGTGCAAGGGTTGAAGTTCACTTATGGTATCTTCTACCGTCTTATTCACAGCCCGAGACTTCCTCCACTTTCATTAGGTTATGCTCTGTCAAATCAACCTCATCAAAATCGAATTGATGCTCGACTTTTATGCTACCCGTCTCTTGCTCGCACTCAACTCCATACTTTTCTCGTGAGCCCAAGGCTTCAATCCTGCGTTATGCTTTCCGGATCGGCTCTTCTTCGTCACTCCTTGAATTGACCTTTCTGTCTTTTGTTCACCTCAACTCAGTTCATTTCCTCACTTGCAATGACTGCTATTCATCGCAACGTAACCTAGAGTCTCCGCTGTATATCGCCATAAATGTAGTTGTAAATGACAATAAATAACCATGTTTTTCACCAAATTAACAATATTGTAAATGATGAAATCCGACTGGTAAATTACAAAATGCACCCTTGTAAATTGACCGTTTACAATCGTTATCGTGGTGGAGAATCATTAAAAAACAGGTCATCTACCTCCTTTAACGTGGTAAAGGAATCCTGGTAAAATGCAATGGACCACATTGTAAAACACAGTTTTAATCATGTTAAAAATGAGTGTATTATACAATGGTTAAGATGATCTTTTACACATCACTAATTCCCTCTGTGATTAGCCATGATCATGATCTGTGGTTGGACGTAATAGAGGGTAACGAAGAAGCGGACAAATGCGCCCCCCCCCCCCAAAAAAAAATGGCTCACTGGCACTCTCACCCTCGACCCAACCTTGAAGTCTAAACCAAAGCGGCGCCAGACTCAGCGCCCTATCCCAATCCACGGCCTGCAAGCTAATAATATGACTGAGGGCACCCAAAACCCAGAGGGGTAGACAATCTTGAGCATATCAAAGCGGCCGGGCCCTTGAATCCGCTGTCCACAACATGAATAGAATATGGTCAGTCATCCTGAAAAAAAAACAAAAGAGACTCGACCCCCCTAGTACTTGGAATTTCCTATGGAAGCTCCCACATGGCCCACACACAAAAACTGTAGAGAATTCTTTAAATATGAAGACCAAGCCGACTGCAAAGGATGCAGCTGCCTATATAGTGTCCGAGTGCCTGCTAAAATCAAGGCCCCCAAAGTTTGGGGACGCCACCAAGAAAATGTGCACCAAGAAAAGCATCCAGTGGCCAAGAGGCCAGGCATGAATATATGCTGTTAGCACATGTCGGTTCTCGATAGAAGTATTTGTTTGTTGTTGGCATCTCACAGGTCCACGCTCAGAGCGACGTCAAAACACTTGACTTCGACAGTACTTGCAGATATATCGGCGTGGATCTCTGTGATAGGACAGACTAAGGCCAAATATACAAAGGGTTGGTGTCAGGGACGCGTCCGGGGTAGAGGAGGCCCAGGTGAGACGCCCGACACTAGGAGCCTCGCGGGGTGTGGAGCGGGCATGCATACTGGCGGGCCCGGCTCAGGAGGCAGTCCCTGGCCACTTAGACTGAAGTGGAAAAGGGTGTTATTATTATTAAAAGGGAATACTATGTTACTTACCTGAAGTGGAAAAGGGTGAGAAGAAGGCTACTTCTTCGGTTCCCACTTCAGGTGTGTTTATATACATGCGGCTTAGGTCACATGACGGGTGCCATGTCATCCTCGCATACAGCCGTAGTCACCCGGGTGTCCCCATGGGGGATCCCGAGGGCGTCCGCTGTGAACGCGCGAGCTGGACATAGCGGGGGTCGCCTGAGGCGCCCGGGCTGGGCGTGCTGTGAGCGCGCTGCAGGTGGGTCAATGGTACATTGATACAAGGAAAGGTCGTCCGTGTAGAATAAAGAGAAAATAAAGAGAAGGTGAGATAAGTAAAGAGAGAGTGGAATGGAGAAAGAAAGAAAGGAGAAGGGGGGGAGGAGGTAGGGGAAGACTGGGTGGCGGGGTACCGGGTGAAGTGGGGCCGGGTGGGGCCGGGTCAGGCGGGTGTGCCCTGACATCACCCCCTCCTTAAGCCGCTTCGCCTCGAAGCGGCCAGGTGGTTCTCCCTCTCTCTTCCCGGGGCCTGGGGGTGCGTCCTGTGGAATTCCTCGATCCGGTTGGGGGCGTGGACTAAGTGGTCCCGCTGGAGCCATTGGTTCTCTGAGTTTGGCCAGCCAGCAAACTTCACTAGATACCAGAGTTTCCGGCGTAGCCACTTAGAGTCTAGTACTTTCTCGACTTCATATTCTTCGTCTCCATCTACGAGCTCTGGGCCCGGGCGTGGGTCGGTGGGTCGTTCCCTGATGTTGTCCGGGTGGTATGGTCTGACGTTTGTCACGGATACGACTGGGTGAACTCCTTTCTGTCATGCGGTGAGTTGAAGTTTGACGGCAGCCCGGGAGACGACTTTGACGATCTTGAAGGGGCCAAGCCATTTGTGGTCCAACTTTTTGGTCGGGCGGTCGGTCGTGTAGTTTTGCGCGTTGAGCCAGACTTGGTCACCTTCTTGATACTTTGGGGCCGTCTCGCGATCTCGGTCGTAGTAGCGGGCCATTTCGTCCGCTGCGTGTTCCAGCGCTGCTTTCGCCTCCTCCTGCATTTTCATCATCCTTGACGAGAATGCATCAGCGGCTTCCACCTCAGACGTGCGTGTGGGTTCTGTCCCCATCCTGGGGTGTTGGCCGGTGTCGAGTTCGAAAGGGGTTCGGTGGGTGGAGGAGTGGATGCGGTTATTATAAGAGAATTCCGCTAAGGGGAGCCAATCCGCCCAGTTGTCTTGGCAATGGTTGACGAACACCCGGAGGTAGGCCTCGATCTCCTGATTGACCCGCTCCGTCTGTCCGTCCGTCTGGGGGTGGTAGGGCGCAGAGGGGGTGAGCTTGACACCTAGGAGGTCTGCGAGCTCTTTGGAGAAGCAGGAGACGAAGGCGCTCCCTCTATCGCTGAGGATCTCCTCAGGGAGGCTGTGGTGCCTCCAGACGTGCTCTAGGAAGAGCTGTGCGATACCCTCCGAGTCCACGGTCATCACAGTGGGGACCGCGTGGATGCGTTTGGATAGGCGGTCCACCACTACGAGGATGGCATTGTATCCCTTTGACTCTGGGAGCTCCCCTACCATATCCACTGAGATCACCTGCCAACGATGGGTGGGGACTTTGTTTGGGGTGAGCTTCCCAACCTTTCGTGAGGGGAACGACTTGACGCGGTTGCAGGTATCGCACCCACGTACATATCGCCCGACGTACTCTGCCATCCGGGGCCACCAGTAGTCACGGGAGACGAGTTCCAAGGTTTTCCATTGCCCTGGATGCCCCGTCGCCCG